AAAGGTCAAAAAATATAAAGTGATACCAAAGATCTTGCTTAGTGATAAATTTAGTGCAGCGACGCTGTGAAAGACAAAAATAGTGTTTCTAAAAAATCAGCAGAAAACTGTACACGTCTCTCAGAGCCGCTCCAAGTCTCAGGCTGCGAGCTCCATAAATAAACCCTGAAACCCAAAGGATCTCTTGCAAAAATGACTTTTATTTTCTTCCCGCTGAGCATGAAGCCATCGATATGTCTGCCTCCTGACACCACCCTCCACACCACCAGCCCTCTCTCTCTCTGGATGAATGCTGACTGCTGCTGGCTGCCCGACTTTCCTGGACCTCCTCCAGGACTCGCTATTGTAGCACTGTTATTTTTAGACAAGTCGACGCAAATAAATATTTATAGCTGTTTGCAGGTCAGGGGGTCTCAGTGAACTGCATACTGGACAGCAGTGTATAAACTACAGTATGCAGCYATGTAAGCATGAATATGGGTTCAATAAAGCAGATCAGGTGCTGACCTGTGATATTTCTGGCTTAGCCACTGTGCAAAAGCAGAAAAACTAAATAGATGAATACATATATATATATTTTTTTTTTCTTTTTTTTTTTTTCAAAATAAAACAAATGAAGCCACTTGCTAGTTCAGAATAATTAAAATGTAAGTTTTCCTGGTTCCTTAAGAGAGGATTTATTGATTTGTAAAGTTTGATTTTTTGCTCATACTTTTCCTGAATTGCTTGTTTTCAATGCAAAGAGTGTGGTGTGACTTATAGGCTCGGTTTATGTAATAAAAGTGAAGCACAAGAGATGAAAAAAGCATGTAGAAAAATCTCTAGACAACAACGGTGATGGAAGGGTTTCATTTTCTGGTGCTTTCCTGCTGACAGGAATTTGGAGAGAAAATAAGGGAAGATTGAGTTTCTTTCATTGTTTGTTTCACACGATTTAAAGTCTAAAACACAGGGTTTGAAAGAAACACTCGAGTTGTGCATTGAGGCGCCCGCACAAAATAAACCAAGCATTTCACTGTGAACTTTGTTTCTTTCCAGAATATCTCATAAATTGATGGAAAATATACAAAAAACCTCAATAAAGTTTTAATCACTAATATGAGTACATCTCCAATCATTGGACCTCATGCAAGAACATGTTCGTATTCTTATCCTAAATTTCTCTTGCTTTTGTTCGTACAAAGGGTTCGTACGAACATGTCACGTCAGATTCAACAAACTCTTCTATCTTCAGGAAAAGTGCGTAAATGAGCTGCGTAATTTCCACCTGTTCGTATCCAGCTGCTCGTGCAGAGAGGAGATTAGCATAATTACCACCC